TGGAATGTTAAGCCTTTTGTAGTTAGTGCTTAAGTCTCAATTTAGTCCTGCTCAAGGCTCCAAACGTGAGCATCTGCTACTCCTAGTGTGCTGCACATACAGATATGTACAGAAACTGCACAAGAGATTTCTGGTTTTATCTGCAATTTCTCAGAAATCTTTCGACATATGTTTTCTTTGAAATCATCATTCATATATTCCTTGCCTTTAATGAATACATTTCTTGAATAGTCAAATGGTCTTGTGTCTGTGTATACCAGTGCAGTTCAATATTTAAATAGTTAGTCAATATAATCCTTACAAGTAGTTTTTAAAAATCTATCTATTGGACGTGTAGTTTTTTAGTTTTGGGAAAGCATTATGAACTAAAATCTGAACATGCTGTGGACAGAAAAAACATGGAGGACTTTATATTTTTGACACATTTATCTGTGGAACAATGTTATAGGGGACTGTTAAACAAATTTGGTCTAAAATTTAAATGAGAATTGTATGAATGTAAATTCAAATGGCAAATAAATAATTGGAGATAATACCTTTGGCAGGAGTGCTAAATCTTTTCTTCTAGCAGTGCTAATAGGTATGCATCTGGATGAGCAACAACATTAAGCACACTCCTTATCCATTACCTGTTAGATTCAACCTTTTCAGGTCTATGTCAAACAGCATGAATAAGCATCTTTTGTTTTACTTTTTTTCTTTTCCAAAAAAAAACTTAATTCCATAGTGCAGTCTAGCCACTTCCTAACTTATTCCCTTTTTGATTTCCAGAGAGTTTTTTTTCACTTTTCTGAATCCAAACTTTAAGGAAAAGTTCTCAGACAGTAATTTTTTGATGACTTGTAACTTAAAGCAGCTGTAGGTAGTTTCTGGAGAGCTTCTCTTTAATTGCTTAAAAAAAAATAAAATAAAATAAATCCTGAATTACATTAAATACATGACTAATAGTTTTGTTTTGAACATTGTGTTGTTTGCTGCAGGTTTGCCTTCATGAGTAGGATTTATCACGAGGATTATGAATGGAAGAGCAGGCAGCATCAGTATGTTGGCTTATATTGAAATACAACCCATATTTGTATAACATTGCAAAACTTGCAACTTGAAGTCCTATGTAAGTTCTCAGCCTTGATACAATTGCTACTAATTCTGCTGCTATTAGTATTACTATTGCTACTACTACTAATAATAATAGAATAATATTGTCAGTATCATATGTAAAGAAGGTCCATCTCTTTGAAGGAAAATCAAAAGAGAAATTTATTTTCTTTAGAACACTTAGGGTTTTTACTTAGTGTTTACATCTTGGAAAGATACAAATGCAATCCAAAAGTATGTCTTGGTTAGGAAATAAGACATATATCACACAGATTTAAAACCACTAGATTTTAAAGATCTAACTCATCTTCTCATAATCCATGGGATGCAGATAACAATAAAGAAAAAAGAGTCCATATTAATTTTGAGATATATTTCCATTTTTCAACAAGTCTGTATTCTCATTGGAGGTAAAATTTTCTTTTACATTTGGGAAGCAAATGTAAGGATTACTGCAAATCTTGAAGGAAATAAGAAAATATTTTCTGTAATGTAATATTCTTATTATTAGCCTGAGGAAAATATAAATTTTTATCAGCTAGAATCATTATGAAAACACAGATTCAGCACTCTGAGTAAGGGAAATACACAGAAGTAATTTCACTGGCTTTGGTGGGACTAGTCTTTTGTTACTCATTCTGAATAAGGACTCCAGAACCTGGCACAAACACATTTCTCATGACAAATAATTTAGGCAACTACAAGAATTATTTTTAAAATGCCTATTTGTCTCTGTTTTTGTTTTCTGCTCCTACAAAGACAGAATCCTTTCCATGAGATTTCCCACAATCTGCACCCATGCTTTAAAATTCAGGATAAAAGAAATAATGTGTTTCCAATAGTTTCTTATTGCAAACCTTGGTATCTGATTCCATTATTATAAAGAATTATGATAAAGAATAAAGTAAAAAAATGAAAGTATTCTGATAAAAAATAATGCATAGTAGGCAACAAATTTCAACCAGAAACTTGCACTGCAAGCTTAAGTAAACCCATTTTAATCTACTGATTTCTTTAATCTTTTGTAATTCTTCTTATAATTTGCCTGGGTTTATGTATATAAATGTGTCTCCAGGTATATATATGAAAAAAAAAAACTATTAATGAGCTGGAGTTATTCTGATTTGTTAAATTTGTGTACGAGCAGTTTACTGATACCCTTAAATCACATAAAACCTATAACTTTTGTATTTAAACATGTTAATTTTAAATTGTACTGTGCTTTTTTTTTTTTTTTTTTTTTTCTAAATAGAAGTAGTGAGATTAACTTTCCCCTTCTCCCAAGCACACACTGTTTTTACTTTACCTCTTTGTCATCTCTTCAGGAACAAATAGTGAATGACGGAATATAGATGAAACAAAGAACAACTATGTCAGTAAGGTCTTGATCTGAAGATGTTAGATCATTATACTTTTACATTTCCTTTACTGAACAATCTTATCCAATGTGATGTTTTATTGAATCATTTTTTGAGAGGTGTCAAAATATAAATGCCAAATTCTGCACTTATGCGTATCAATGTAACTGATCATTATTTTCTGAAATTAGTGGATAAATCTATATATTGCTGGATATAATGTGTGTATGAATTATTAATTGCCTCCAATGGAACAATTAAAGTCTAAGCAAGCTGAGATCATCTCCTTATGAAAATCAGTGTGTAGTTTGTTTGATAATGATGAAAAGGCTTGCTGTTTCCATCCCCAAACAAACAAACAAAAAAAAGCATTAGCCACAATTTTCTCTATTTCACTGAATCTTTTGTTAGATATCATTAGGCATCATTTATAAAGAACATGTTTTGATTTTGGAAAAACAATTTAGGAGCTCATTCTCAAAATATTATACACACTGGGAAAATGATTTAAGTATTTCTTGGAAAACTGGGTTCTCTGTACAATGACAAGCATGGCCCAACACTAATATTCTTTCAGGCAAAATTTTCACAAAGTTGGTGGTTATTTCCCTTTACTAGGGTTTGTGAGGCCAGATAAGCCTGAATAAAATTTAATGTCTAGAAAACTTATACTTAGATAAACCTCCGTGATATTTGCATTTTCATGTCAGAAGATTCTAATATCAGACCTACATTTGTGTGAAACAGGGAAAACTGAATCTAATATGATGCTGTCTTCATGTTGTTTTTACTCTTACTACTAAGAGGTATGAAATTTAAATATATAAATTTACTTTTAATAGGAAAATTTTGTAAAAATTTTGTAATGTAAAAATGTAAATGTAAAAATACTGGCCGTTATTTGAGGCATTCCATTTTGCAGTTGCAGAAATGTATTTCCAAAGAAAAATTAAAGGCTGTTTGTAGTATTATTTAAGTACTCCAGGCACATTTATTTTCATGCATATCGGTGCACTTGTGTATGGGAAAGCAGAGGCCCAATTCCAGCCCTGGCTCTGCCATGGAGCTGCTGAGAGTGAGTCACCTGAACCCTCTGTGCAGCAGTCTCTGTTTATGGGATGAAGACAATACCACCCATCTCCTGTTTTGAGATTGCAGACTGAAGGTTAGAAATATCACTCTTCACATTTTTTCTTTTCTATAACTACACTATGCGTTCAAAAATTATTTATTTCTGAAACATCATCATTTTAGAGCTTTCTTATAAGCTGCAGTATATATGCAGTATTAGTCTTTTTGTCCCTGAAGTTAGAAAAAAACATTTTCCTTCAAATAAAGCATGCCCAGTTTTGCTAGAATTTTCTGCTGTAAACACATACTGCAATCTGGTCAAGAGTGGTCCATCCTGTTCAGTCATGGCAGGCAAGTAGGCCTCAGTGCCACTGGATGTTTTATCATAATCGGTTGCTGAAAAACAGCAGAGTAACTTGCCTTTTGCCACTCAGCGATTTACTATTTGTTTAAAACACAAAAGAAGAAAGTTATTAAAATGACGCTTGAGTGCTTTTATGAGAATTCTTTCTTTCATAGCTGAGAATCATTTCCTCTTTCTTTATTTTCCTTTTCCTCTCAAGCCCTTTTAGCAAAATTTGGGATTTATTCCCACAAATGACTTTCCATAAACTCTCTCACTTGCATACAGTACGCAGTTAGCTTTCACTCAGACATCCCTATTCATGTTCAAATATTTGCGCTTCTGCAGATAACATTTGCATGTAACACCTGCTGCAAGCCTTAGAAATTCAGAAGGCTTTCTGATATGAGTGGGAGAGGCATTTTTGTCTAGGCTTTTGCTCCAGTTGCCTTCTACAGTTAAATATCACTGACTGCATGAAAGGAAACTATAAAATTGTATGTATGATATTTTCCTATATCCAGGTCTGTGTAGTCCAGTTTTGTTGCAAACATAAGATTTGTGCAGGAATCAGGAGATGTTTTAAACAGTGTTCATTACTGAGTTTTGATTTCCGTTAAGGTCTTGCTGCATTTCCAGAAGAGTTCACAAAATTAGGAGAAGATGGGGGGGGAAAGGATAATAGTTCAATATTTTGGTTCATCTGTAAAAATAGATAAAAGATTGTGTGTGTGATTTATTCTATAATACATCCAAACTCTTAAGTAATAATTGTTCCTTCATGCATCCTACTATTGTCAATCTTTGGACAGTGTCAGGAGATATCCATCTACCTTTCTTTATCTCCTGAACAAACTCCTCCTCGAAAGAAATTGTGAGTCCTGTTCCTTTTGACCTTTACCTCTGAACACTTTTGCCAGTAGATTCTCTGCAAACCATCTTGTAGGGTTTCAGAAACAATTTCCTGGTGCCAGGATGTAAATGACTGTCAGAATTCAGTTGTGTAGTTCTTTCTACAATATTGTGGGTAATAACATTTAAACTGGTGTATTTAAACTACTGTATTTTGTTTGGTGGATAAGCTGGGTAATGAAATCATCCTCACTGGCTGATTCAGTGATCAGAGTGCTTACCTGCCAGCCCAACCTTGCTGGGTGCAACAGAGCAGCAGCCAGTTGAGATCCCCCAAATGAGCTAAGTGAGCTGCTGTCTGGAGAGGAGGACACTTTTGGAATGGTCACTTCTGCAAACAAGTGTGAACATGGTGAAAACCTGAAGCACTCTGAACATGGATCTGCACAAAACAGATTGCAGGGCTGTTTCAATCCACAGTTTCTCTCCAAACTTCTTTTTGTGTTTAGGTGATACACACTAGATACTTACACAACTCTATTTTTCTGTAATAATGATTGCAACAAAGCATCTGAAATGAAATACTCTACTTTGCTCACACAAATATATGAAAAACTTTGATTGTTGAAATCTCCCCATCAAGATTAAAAAGACTTGACAACTTTTGGGGGTGAAACTTTAGTGTCTACTAACAACCTAAAGTATTTCCGGATTTAAAATTAATCTTATTTATCTAACTTATGGTCTGAACTTGGGTAGACCTGTGCGGTGTCAAGAGTTGGACTTGATGATCCTTAAGGGTCCCTTCCAACTCAGGATATTCTATGATTCTATGATTCTAACTTAAGATAATAATAATAATAATAAATATTTATTTGCTCCATATGCATTTGATTATATAACGTGATCTTGTAAAAGTGTTATATCTTTGTTAACAGAAAATGTCATTATCTGTCAGCATATTTAATGTTATCTTGAATTCATATTGTTACATAGTGAAGGTAAAATTACAAGACAATATATTTTATCTGTAAAATTGACAGATCGCAGTAAGACTGTATTACAACCTAATGTAATTCTAAAGAGTTAACAATAATCATAGAAAAGATATAACACGAGACATCTAAATATTTAATTAGTCCATTCTCACTTTTTGGAACACACATTAACATTTAAATGTGCAAAATGACTTGAAAACTGATTTTTGAAGAGCTGTCATTAACAAGTATTATCATAACCATCAATATTATTTATTAAACAACACATTTGATCCCATTAGCAAAATTATCACAAGTATTACTCTTTTCTTTTTATCCATATTTGTCCTTATCATGAGAAACTGGTGCAACACTCAACAACGGAGCACAAACCTGCTGTGATTTAAGCAAATCATTAGTTTTGTCACTGACTGTAATCAGAACAAGACTCTTTGATTGTAAATTTGTCTCCTGCAAATGGAAAGTATCCTAATCAAACTACCATTCTATTATTCTGACCTGCTACTTAAATCTGTTTGTGAGAAGGCATGTGGCTACTGTATGCACTTTGCTGTACGACTGCAAGGGATATCGATTTCTTTATAGTTCATATGCATCATTCTTTCTTTGAAGCACCTCTGCTCAGTGAAATCAAATGGATGTGACTGCCTGTTCCTTGCATGTGGAAAGAAAAAGCAAAATGGCATTCACTGTGCAATTGCTTTCTGCTTGTTACTTCAAAATCAAGTGGTCAGTTTGGCCTTTATGCTTTCTGCGCTACTCTCTGTAGCCTGGTAAGGCTACTTCTGGAAAACACCCTTATACTTTTAGCCTGTTGACTTTGACTTACTGTGCTGAATATCCAAAGGAACACCTGCCTCGGCTCTCAATCTTTCTGAACCTTGGGTTTTCCCCTTGACGTGACACATACAAAAATACTATTTTCTCTACCATTATAGGAAAAGAAACAAAACAAAAACAAACAAACAAACAACAACAACAAAAAAAGCACCAGTACTATTCTTATTAATAGTAAAAACCTCTTCATCCTTCTTAACTGGGTTTGCTTTGACTAGATGGTTTCAGTAAAAACAGAGGTAAAAGACAGAAAAGGATTATAGTTTCCATCTGGACAGGTGAACCCCCCCCCCCCCCCCCCAAAGAAGTTAGGCTATATTGTTACAGTTGTATTGCAGTAAAAAAAATAAATGATGAAAGTAATACTCTGTCTAACAGTATTGACAGATAGCATGCATATTAATATATTTCTAATACGTACAAGAAGTTGTAATATATACAGCATCAGAAGTTTAGATTTCAGTAATCCAGTATGATTATTTTAATTCCTTTCTCAAAAGTGCTCTTCTGACCTCCTCCTCCCCCTCCCCACTCCAACCCCCGAAAAAGTGTCTGTAAAGGGTTATTCATCTGTTGTCCATTTTGAAGAAAAATCTGCTTTTTTTGCTGCCAGCAATTTCTCTGCTAGGGAAAGTTAATCTACTCACCGTGTCTGCCAGCGTGAGCCTGTCTCTGTCCGTCCAGTGCTGCTTCTCTACCTGCTTCTTCCCTTCTGCCTCGTACTGTATCTCCAGTGCTGTGTGTGCTTGTTAGGGCTGCCTCTCTCCCAGCATCACTTTTAACTCAGGCAGCCAGGGAGCTGAAGCCAAAGGGACTCTCTATCTGATTGGTTTCCATTCAGTGCCCCTGATTAATAAGAATCATCCCTCACTGAGAGAGATGTTGCTGCTGATAGAGCTGCAGTGCTCAAGACGAGGAGGTTTGGGGCTGGGGGGGGCGTGGGGGGGACCAGCTTTGCCAGCCATACAGTGATTTGCAAGTGAATGCAGTGGGAGGGTTCAGAGAGGAGGGCTTTGTTAAGGACCCTCTTATTAACTGAGACTTAAATACAGAGACTCATGCTACTAGCTCAGTTTGATCTGTTTTCTGTTTTAATAATAAGGAGAAAGTCATGCCCATAACCTGTGAATTAACTGGAGAAAAGATTTACCCTAATTATCTACAGCAGCAGTTCAGTGCCATTTGTGTGCACATATTCATTGAAGAATGCAAAATTATCTCATACCATTATAGTGAAAAATGATTTGAAGTTGAAAGAAAGCACAGTGGAGGAGATTTCCCCTTGTACTAAATAGGTTTACAGCACCAGTGTCACTTACAGCTGTTGATAATGATAGGCTTGTTACTGTATCTGAAAGTGAACATAATGTAAAGTTGCAAAGGATGTTTCAGGAATTATGGTTAATAATGTTCATGTCATTCACAGACATATATGGTTTTGCCAGTCACACAAATGAAATTTCCTGCTTCCTGGTACAGTCTGTTTGGATATGAGTAACCACTGCTCCCCACAATGTTACCACTGTGCAATATTGCAAAATATTGCAATTTGCTTGAACCACTTCAAGCATGGTCACCCAAACCATAAGATGAAACCATCAAAATGAAATAAAAATAAAAATAAAAATAAAAATAAAAATGAAGTATTGTAAGTCCTGTGAATTTCTGTGGGCTTCTGGGTACTACTAATAATTATTTCAGCCACGGATATGTTAAACATTTACAATAGGACTTCTAGGAACTGATACTTTGCCACCACTTTCTGTACCAACAACTCCTGAAGATAACCTTTAGTAGATGTCTGTTGTGGGCACCAGTAGAATAGCATGAAATGCTACAAAGTTTGGTTTTCTGGGACTGTAGCACAATTAATTTAGTACCAACATTTCATTCTAAGAAAGATGGACCATGCTGTGAGTTTCTAATTACGAAATATCATTAGGTTTAAGAGTTCAATAACTGGGGTGATAGGAGGAATCTGTTTATTTTGTTGGAGAAACCTTACTATAACAGAATGTTTACATCAAATAGCCAACTGAGAAAAACTAAGTAAATTATTCCCTTTTTTTATGCCCTTATTATTGTTTTGATACTACCATTGATGAGCTCAGCACAGTCATATTCACAGCACACTGTTTCTAATGAGAACCATTTCACTATTAGATCCCATTTGAAATGATTAAGGGATTGATACAATTCATATAGACATCAGTCAGAGCCTTTCCATTGATTTCAGTGGCAGTTAAATTGGTCCCTGAATGAACTAAGTCTTCTCTGAGAATGCTGCACATCCATTAAAACAGTATTTGCATATGTGTAACTGAGTGCAGAATTCAGCCTAACACTCTGAAAATCAAAAATCAAAATCCAGAGCCAGAATAAAATAAGGTAGTTTACCTCAGCTAAAATATATATTAAAACAGTTTAAAACACCATGTTCATTTCATGGTCAGTCCACTTTAGCAGATATACTGGATAAAAATGTTTAGTAAAATTTTTTGTTTCAGTAAATACATAAGAAAATTAAAAAAAAAAAAAAAAAAAAAAAAGACACAGGCAGACAACAGTATATCTCTGGTGTCCTGTGGTCCCAGCACAACCTTAAATCTTGGGGATTCCAGACGATATTTACTTAACAGGAAAATAGATGGATGGTAAAAATGCATGAGTAATGTCTACTTTTTTTCAAATTTTTGCTGTTTTTTTACTATTTTGGATCTTTGGGAACACTGTTTTTACTCTAGCCAGTATTAGGGGATCATACAGGTACAGAGGAATCCCACAAACTGGAGAGATATAAAAGGCATCTTTGCACAACCCCTCCTTGAGTTTTAGAAGGCATTATTCCCTGGCAGCTGTAGGTCTGGCTTCTTTAAAGGCAGCCATAGATCAGTTCAATACTAGGCACTGAGAACACATAAACGAGAAAGGCTCTGTTCCTGTTGATGGCATCTAAAAGTTTGTATTAAAACAAGCATTATTTATATTAGACGGCATAATGCTTGCTTTCTCAGATATGTATTTCATGGTGTTGTAAATACAGCACAGTGACTACTACAGGGGAAAAAGCTGAAATAAAGTGCTATACATTCACAAACTAGTGGTACTTCTAATGCAAACAGTATTGCATGATGGGGGAAAAGAGTTTTGCAATATACACTGTAAATGGAATATACATAAAAGTAGGCCAAAAAGGAAAAAACGTAGGTGTGACAGTAACTAGGCAGAGATGGGTGGAAATCTGAGGCTGTGCTCTAACTCACAGAAGGCAACTTCATATAAAGGAGGAAAAATAAAATGCTCCTTCTGAAAATGAGTGGACAGAAGGAAAGAGATACAGAAAAGCAGAAAGTGCACCAAAAGGGTAAGCAGGATTGCTTTTATTGCAAGTCAGGCTGTACTTCAGTTTTATGTTTTATGAAGTCTTTCTGGAATTGGGTCTCTTCTCTTCTGACCCTTCTTCATCTTCCTTTCTTTTTCTTCCTAAAGATATTTCTGCTGGCATCCATGGGAGGCAGTGATTACACACCCAATCTTCGTTGAAATTCTGAACATTTCCATATTTCACAGAGGCTAAAATCACTCAGCATTGCATGGAGTTGGGCTTGTTGCCATGTTAAATCATTCTGAGTTCAATCACAGTTTGCCATCATTTTTTCTTTTCCTGACAGGTTTACACTTAACTTGGTTAGGCAAAACTAAATTCAAATAAAACTTCAGAAGATGAAAGGAGTCATCTGTCTCTATCCACATGTTTCTCCACCTATATCCAGTCAGTGGACAATATCTAGAAATCTGCTGGTGGCACTGTGAAATGTTATATAACATCTTCCTAGGTTTCTCCTGATAAGCTGAGACAGGCCTGAATTGTCACTAATCCGCATTCCTGATGAAGTCCTAGGGTCTGTAAGGAAAAATTGGCCCAGGGTTTGGTAGTAACACTTTCCCTTCAGTCTGGTACTTATATGACATTTTCCATTGCCAGAATTGTTGAACAGGTATTTAATCTTTCTCAGATAAGAGACTTTATGTGATTTAATTTTTCTCACATAAGAGACTTTATGTGATGCCAAAAAAGAACAGAGATGAACAGAATGAAGGAAAAAAAAAAAAAAAAAAAGCATGTATGTAAGGAAAGCTCTGTGAGATTCAAAAGAACAAAGCAAACAGCTGTGCAACATGAGTTCTGGTCATGTTCATGATCATGTTCACCTGAACCTTTAAGAGTCTGAAACAAAAAGAAAATGATGAAATAATTATCAACTAGTTCTAATCACAACTGTATTTTCACTTAGTCAATCATTGAAAAGGTAATAAAAAGATGAAAATAAAACACCATTAACTTCTCTAGTTTTTCTCCAAGATTTCTTCTCTCTTTCTGTGAAAGACTTTAAATGATTCAATTGCTAACGAATATGACAAAGTGTATGACTTTGAAAGATTGACAGAACATTACTAAATCAGAGCTGACAAGGTCTGGCAGGGTTTTGTCTGCCCCCCTTTGATATACATAAGATAGGGCATAAGAGAGAATAAGAATTCTCCTTTCCCCCTTTCAAACCTCTTCTTTTAGTACAGTTACTCAGGCAGCTGCCACTCTGCCTTGTCTGAGGGAGAATTACAATACTTTATCTGGATCTAAGTTCCCAAAACAGACGAGAGGAGGGAAGATTCGTGTGTGGGTGGGAGAAGAATATAGCAAGGCCAAAACATGCTGAGAACAATTAGATATTGCTAAACTTTGAGATGTTTTTAAATAAGGCAAAGCTGAAACAAACACATATGCCAGACTTAATTGTATATGTGTTTTCAGAAAGACAACAGTAAAAGCTTTAGTTAAGAATATATTCAACAGTCAGTTCTACAGCTTAATCTGTGTGCTCTATTCAAAGTTTGTTAAAGTCAATTAAATCCCTCAATTTGAATTTTTGGCAGCTTGGTAAAACCAAATGATTTTTCTTTTTAGGTAGATGACACAAGATGGTTGGAGCTATTTGAATACACATACACACACACACACGCATATGCATATTTACATACACCATATTTTATTCTTTCTTTATTTATATGAGAAAGGTTTCTTACTAACAAAAAAAAAAAAAAAAAAAAAAAAAAGATTAAATTGTAGCATAAAATTAATATGATTTTGTGGGTTAAATAGATTTTAAAATAAGTAAATAACTAAGTAAATAAATAAAAATCCTTAACGTCTTCAAATTTCTGAATTTGTTTTTAATTACTTATTTATCATGCATGAATCTATGGAATTGATCGATTCTACCTTGCTTTCTTCTTCAATCTCCAGATACAATAGTTTGAAATTTTAAAACAAGATAGGTTACATTTTGCCAAGAGGGAATTGAAGCTTTAAAATATTAGGAAAGGCCTAAAAGGCAGCAGAAAGGCCTTTATGTTTTCTCAACATTTAATCTGTTCAAAACTGGCAAATTTTTAAAAGTACATAATAAATGTAACTTCATATAATAAAATTGAAATGTTATAATTTTAATCAATTAAAAAAACCTGTAGAAGCAGTCTTTATTATATACACATACAGTTAAGTGGCTAAGTATACACAACAGATATTAAATGGAAGATATTAATACATGAATAGATGATAAAGTATTTTAAAATATACTGTGGGTGCCAGGCTGAGATTCAAGTCATAACTCTTTTGTAGGACTTATTTAATGCTTTATTTCTCAATCTGATATATATACATATTTTTTTACATGTATGTTTAAAGCTTGTCAAGACCTTTAACAGAGATTTTTGCTTGGATATACTGGCTTACTGAAACTATTAACAGATACCACTTACTTCTTGTATATTTCCTTCATGAATTTTTTGTAGAGAAAATTATGAGCACACGATTCCTGCATGAAAAGAAACTTTTCAAAATGATTTAAATTCAGTGTTTTTCTTG